ACCAGCACCACGCACCCAGTACAGGCACCCTGCACCAGCACCCACTACCAGCACCGTGCACCCAGTACCAGCACCCTGCACGAGCACCGGTACCAGGACCATGTGCCCAGTAACGGCACCCTGTATCAGTGCCCAGTATGGGCACCCAGCACCAGCACCTACTACTTGCACCCAGCATCAGTACCACGCACCCTGCACCAGCACCATGCACCGGATACTGGCACCCTGCACCAGCACGGGAGGTCCCCGCTGCCCCCGCTGGGTCCCCAGGACCACTTCCCAGCTAAGTGTCCCTGCCGAGGAGTGGCTTTCCCTAAATCAGTGGCTTCTCTGTTTTATTTTTTTTTTTTTTCAGAAGGGGGGATTATGCATCGCTAAAAATAAAGGGTGATCAAACTTTGGGAGAGAAAGGAGGCATAAAAATTTCATGATCTTGCCAGCCAGGGAAATTATCCCACTTTATTATTTAAAACCTCATTAAAACCCATTCCCTGGGAGAGACAATGATCAAACCACCGCCTATTTCCATCCTCGAGACGTGCACTCTGCTACGCGGGGAACGCGTTTAAGGTAGGCCCCAACCTGGGACTGCTCAGCTGGAAACACTGAGCCCGACCCGCGCCCGTGCGAGCGGCATCTCGGAGCTGAGACCCCTTGCGCGGGGTGATCGCACGGCACCCGCTGCGCCTCCCGCCATTTCGACCTGCTCCGACCAATGCTCCGGATTTTCCTTTTTTTACCCATCCAGCTCGCTCCAGCGGGAGCTACAAAGGGAGGATCTGCTACAAGGTGGGAATCTCTCCCTTGCCCCGGGAGGATCTGCCCAAGGACCTCTGCGGACGAAAACAGGGTCCCCCCTCCGATTGCAACTTTTCCAAATCTTTGGAGCAGCTCCAGCACGGAGCCACGGCTGCCAGGCTGCTCCCTCCTGCCGTGTGACCGGGCCACCAGCCCTCCGATTTGCTTTAGCGCTTCATTTAGCTCGGAAGCTCACAAATGCCCGGAAAGGCTCCCACATCTTCAGGAACTGCTTTGTAGTGCGTGTTTGGGATTTTTAGAAATCCCCACGGACATTTGGGCTTGGGATTCCTTGGGATTCTCCAACCCGTCTGTCCCTTGGATGGTGAAAAACCACGAGTGGGATGGTGAAAAACCGTGAGCGTTTGGTTTCAGAGACGTTGCCTTTTAAAAAGGAAAAGCGTGGATTGGGAAAAAAAAATGTTTGGAGCTCCCAAATCACCTGCAAAGCGGTGTTGTCAGTGAGTTCGTGCTCGCGGTGCCCCAGCTCGGCCTAGAGCCTCCTCTCTTGGAATGCACGCGCGGCGGGGAGGGGGACGCGTCTTCTCTAGCGATTGCAAATGCTCCGAGAAGTAACCAGGACCCCTGCCCCAATTCGGCTGGGAGTTTGGGAGCTGCTTTCCCCCAGCCCCAGCCCGGGCTGGGAGCAGGGTGGGGAGCGGGAGCTCCCGGGGAGGGCAGGCAGCATCCTGCCCGCGCTCAGCGGCACCGAGCGCTTGAGCCTGGCTTGAGCCGCTTCTGTCCCGAACGGTGCCGGGCGGCGGGCAGAGGTGCTGC